AAAGAAAGAGGATTGAAGCTAAGTTGGAAGAGGCATCTAGAGAACCGGGTAGGTACATAAATGTTTTTTTCATCATATCACTATTCTTTTACTGAAAACCAGTTTAAAATACATTCAAATTTCAGGAAGAAAGGAAATAATTGCAGACTTTCAAAGCTTGCTTTCTTCATTTCCTGAGGCAATGAGCTCAATGCAGAGTCAATTAGGCAAGTACAAAGAAGCTGCTGCGGATATTCATTCTCTCCGGGCTGACGTGCAATCTCTTTCCAACATTCTTGATAGGAAGGTTTGTACTTTTCCAAGTTGTCTGGTTATCCCCTTTATTGCTTGAAGGCCTTAAAAATACTCTTTTCATTTTGCTAGACGAACTTGTAAAGAATTCTCAAATAGTTATTTATGGAACAGGCTAAAGAATGTGAGAATTTATCCGTGAGATCTGCTGAACAAGTTGCTGATATTCGTAAGTTGCAAGCCATGGTATGATTGGTTAATTTGCCCCTTTCCGTCTCCAAGATTTTGTGCCCTTCTCTGAGAAAGAAAATCAATTATTTGGATATTGTTTTGATTTTCATTTATTACAGGTCCAGGATTTGAAGGACAGTGATGTGGAGATGAAATTGATATTGGAGATGTATAGACGTGAGTTTACTGATTCGAGGTCAGATTATCTAATACAAGATGCATCCTTTTGTAACTTCTGCTATCTTTGAGAAACCTATCACAGAATTCCTTCCTTCAGTGCTGCTTGGAGTTGGACTAAGCTTTGTTTCTTTAGTGTAACTTTCTTCTTTACTGGAAATTTTTAGCAGCTAACGTACCGGAGAATGTCAGGATATCTTATGTTATTATTGGTTATGAATATGATGTGCTGCCTCTGGTTATATTGTGCTATAATTGAAATTCTGATCTTGCTACCCTTGACATGTTTCTTCTTGATGCTTAGTCCCAGATTCTTACATCTCTTTTCCGTGATTGCAGAGATATTTTGGAAGCGAGAGATTCAGAATACAAGGCATGGGCTCATGTTCAAAGTTTGAAATCTTGCCTTGATGAGCATAATTTGGAATTGCGTGTTAAGACAGCTAATGAAGCTGAAGCAATGTCCCAACAAAGGTTGGCCACTGCGGAAGCTGAAATTGCTGAATTGCGACACAAACTGGAGGCTTCTAAGAGGTTAAAGTTTACCTCATTTTCTTTTTATTTATATTTATACTCGGGGACGAACAAATAATTTTATGTTGGGGGCGAACATATAAAATTTTCAGTGGGGTGAACTTATAAAAATTTTAGGGGGGTGAAAACAGATTATCAATAGAAAATACAAAGAAATTATCTAAAATATATGAGATTTTGAATTTTTTAGGGGGGCAACTGCCCCCACTAGCCTCCCTTTGCGTTCATCCCTGATTATACTACCAGACCCTATTAATGCCACTATTTGATGTAACCAATTCAAATTTCTTTTTTTAACATGCCTTTATTTTTGGAGGCAGACGTAATCTAAGATCTTTTCTGCAAATCAACGAATGTTATATCTGGCATTAGGCAAATGTTTTTCTGTTGTGTCTAGACAATTCCACATTAAGAGTTCTGTTGAAATTCTCCTGAACCATAATGTATGCTTACTGGGAATCATGTATGTGGTGTTTGTGTTGTTGCTACCTTCATTATCAAACAATGGATTTATGAGAAGCGAGTGAGAAGTGTTAATTATATTGTTATTTCAGGGAAAAAGTTAGCCTTTCTGATGGTTTAAAATCAAAAAATGAAGAAAATGAGGCTTACTTATCTGAAATAGAGGTTAGCTTTTAATCTTGGTTCTGCCCTTCGGTGTCTTGAATTTTTCATAAGGCTGTTAGTTTGGTTTTCCCTCAGTCAATTGGACAGGCATATGATGACATGCAAACACAAAATCAGCAGCTATTGCAGCAAATTACAGAAAGAGATGACTATAACATCAAGGTAATCAATTGTTTGGTATATTATATTCGGAGATCCCAAGTTTCTGCACGAGTTATAATCGATTTTATGTCTCTTTATAATTTTTTTTGTTGAGTTATAATTGATTTTAATGCCTTTTACAAATCTTAAGTTCAGACTCTGAAGTGAACAGTTCTTCATATGATCATGTATGCTTACATAACAATCAAATAATGTTTGATCATGGGATAGAAATTTTCACTTGCAAACTGGCACAGAAAACTGACAATTAGAAGGTGCATCATTTCCCTTGTGCATATAAGGAGATAGAACATGGGAAGTTTTGTTCAGTGCTTGGTCTTCATTTGTCTGTTTGTTGTTGATATGAAGATCCGTAGATATTTTCATTTGCCAGTAATCTGCTCATTCATTTATGTAGAATTTTATTGAGATTTTTCAATAGCCTAACCCTCCAAATATAACAGGGCCAAGGGTGTTATCGATGTAAACATTAATGAAATTTGCTAGAAGGGTGATATTAAACTTGACATTTAATTTAAAGATCAATGAAATTTCTTATCATGAAACTAGGAGAGGTTAATATCTGTGGTTTTGTTAATCTATTCTTGTGAAGGAATTTGGCATCTATGTTCTTTATTCAATTTCTTGACATTGAACTTGTACTTGAGGAGCAACCATGGTGTGCTGTATAGACTTAGAAATTTGCTCTCGTAGAACTTGATTTTGCTTTAATGTTCTTTTACAGCTTGTTTTGGAAGGTTTGAGGGCAAAACAGCTTCAAGACACACTACTATCGGAGAAACATGCCATGGAGGAGGAGATTCAGCAAGCCAGCGCATCCCTTGATTTTTATAATACGAAAGCTGCGAGAATCGATGATCAGGTTTGATTATGAATAAGTTATGTTGTATGAAATAAACTTCTAAAGGCATTCAAGTCTTGAGTAATTCCTTTTGCAGCTGAGGTTCTGCTCAGACCAGGTTCAGAAACTTGGAGCAGAAAGGTTTCAGAAATCAGTGTTCTTGGAAAATACACAAAAGCGATTGTCAGATGTAAGAAGATCATCTCATCAAGCAAGGGAGTCACTGGAGGACTCACAATTGAAGATTGAGAAAAGTAGAGCAGCGTTAGTGGAGTTGCAGATTGAAGTAGAGGGAGAAAGGTAATAGAATTTATTAGTCCTTTATGTTTCCATTTTGTTTTAATGCATTGGGTGTGTTCATGTCTGTCTTTCCTCTTGTCATTTGTGTATTAGGTTTAACAAGAAAAGAATCGAGGAAGAATTGGAAGCGGCGAGAAGAAAGGTAGTACATCTTCGAGCAAAAACAGAAGGAAACTCAATGGTCGAAAGGCTTCAAAAAGAACTTAGAGAGTATAGAGAAATACTGAAGTGCAGCATCTGTCTTGACAGACCGAAAGAGGTAAACGTGTGATTCTGAATTAGCATATCAAGGTCACAGTTTTTCAGCTAGGCCTAGACCCTTTTAGTTTCAGCTTTTATTCTCATTGGTGCTGACAATTGGATATGATGCTTCTGTCATTTAACTACATTGGACTCTTCATTAAGTACCCTTTACAACACATATTCAGGCATGGGTATGGGGTATGATTCACCAAATATATGCAAAAACTACACATGCCCATGTCTGGCACCTACCCCGAGTTTTAGTAACATAGCTTATAGCTTGTTCCTTACCATTCCAAATTTCCCCATCTATTTTCAGATTTGCTTATAGATTTTTTGTCCATGTTCCAGGTTGTTATTACAAAATGCTACCATCTCTTCTGCAACCCTTGTGTACAGAAAATCACCGGAAGTCGTCACCGCAAGTGTCCGGTGTGTTCTGCAAGCTTCGGTGCCAATGATGTTAAATCTGTTTACATCTGATAGACTGATACTGGAGCTCTCATCAAGGCTGCCTGCTTATCCATGGGACTCAGCCTGCATCTTCAAGTGCTTGCACCACCACCAGACCTATGAACACTCAGTCACAGGTTCCATGTATTGTTATATTAGAGTTGTTAGAAAAGAATTAAGACAGGAACTAGAGGTTCCCCATCCCTATCCATTTAGTCGGGTGCTAATCCTCACAACATTTGCTTGTTTGGTTCCAAGTTGATTGGACTTAATTCTAGAGTGTTTTATGATGTTTGCAACTGATTGAATCCCACTGGGCTCTTTCAAGTTACTTTTTGCAGATTATTCATTTTTTTTATCAAATTATGTATTCTGCTGAAATAATTTCGGAGCATGACTTGAGTTTTTGGTCTGCACAGAATCAGTGATATGTTAGTATTATACATGTTATGTTTGTGTATATCATTTGTGCCATAATTGTTTTTAAGCTATCTAATATTTATTTAAATTTTGATATTTTGGTGATCAATATTATATTACACAAGTATTCGAGATATTTATCCATTCGTTGTTGTGTATATTCGTCGTCGTGTGTTTGTGTTCTTGCTATGGAGGTAGGGACTGCACCATATATGCCAAATACATTACCATTTACAAAGGCTAGTCGATGAAGTTAAATTGTTATTATCAAAATACCAATTTGGGTCAATTTAGATTTGTACGAATTTGTAAATCTTATTCAAGACCCGATTGGTATTGCTCGGACTGTGCTAATATGAGACTATCTATGATATATTTGGACCAAACCTTGCAATATTTATTATATAGAATTGGACAAACCTGTATACAATGATCATTGTTGGGCTTGGTGGTAGCTGCTGTGCAATGTGCTGTCTTCAAATAACTGATTCTATGCTAAGTACCACAGTTTCTTTTTATGGCTTATTCTCCAATGCCGATCTTAATGACAATTTAATATCTTCTCCCTATGTTGCATACACACTAATTCAAACACAATGGCTCTATAGGTATAAGAAAAAATTCAGAAAGAATGTCAGAGATTACTGATCTATTCTATTCTCAAAAGATAACCAAAAAGTTAAACAGTGCAACATGTATTATTAATGCTAACTCTGGAAGTGTTACGAGATTATTATTTTGTTTTCAAAAGATATGTTCGATATAATGAGTTATGCTTTTGTTTATACAGTCTTAATACCTTTACTTTTCTTGCCCATGTAGGATAAATGTATCCTACCTCTCTTTTTAAATCATGGGGCAGGATACAAGCATATGCTGCTACTATGCATACGATCCTCGAGTGTTTGAAAACTTGTTGAGCCCCTATTTAGAAGAATTGAATTTGGTAAGGACATCAAGAATTGAATTTGCCAACATTTTGATCTAGTGATAAGAAGCCTCTGTGGCATGGCATTGTTGATGCCAGCTTTTTCTTAAGTTATAAGTATGATTGTAAGTGTTAATAATACATATCCGAATAACTATCACCATAATTGATCATTGCAAAGCATAATTGAATTGAAACTGAAAAGTCTGAAACATATCCACATTTAGACTATAATAAATTTGAACAAAACCCACATAAGTTTAGAGTTAAAGAAGAGCAAAATATGACGAGAAACTAACATATAAATAAGCTATGGTGGGACTCGAATCTAATAATTCAAAGTTCCCGAAGTCTCATTTGGAATTTTCTTTAGTTAATTAATAACACACACCATGCAGACGCAAAGGCAGTGATCCGGATCCTCTAGGGAGAATAACATTCTCCTATTCCTTTTTACTATTGAGGTCATTCTTAACATTTACTTACAAATTGAAGTAACATAGACATTATGTTATTTTTAACACACTAGCTAGATATATTATAACAGGTATGTTTCTTTTTTACTAGGATGTTCCGTTTGTTACCAAGACTTGAGACAGTTTAACAGAGAGCCATATTGCATATGATTCCAAAGCAACCTGTTAGGGTTACCATTGCAATTCTAAGTGCAGCATGGGTTACATTTTATCTCTTAACAATCTAGATATCGAGAATGAACAACAGAGATTGATACTGTAAAGCTAATTGCTCGGTTATTATGATGAACATGGAGACTTTAAATTGGTTAGGAAACAAAATTGTAATCTAGGTAAATTCAAGGCACTAAAAGGGAATAAAAATGAAAAACCCGGAGAGCTCTTCATGAAGAAATGGGAAAGAAGGACTTACTTATCCCCTGCCCTAGGACGAATTCCAAGTCCAGTTCTGATACTCGCACCCACATCCATCAGATCTTCGACCTGTTCAAAGAGTGATATCTCAAAACGCAAACAAAAATTGAAGTACTATAATGAAGGTTGAGAGTGAAATTTTGAGCACATTGGATACCAAATATATTATTACGTTGTGAATTCCGGAGGCTTTCAGGAAAGCGATGGATACAGTGGCGGAGGCGCCGAGGAACAGAGAAGCGACGCCGAAGGCTTTGACGGGCATCAAGCGGTGGTCGCCGGAATAACCTTCTCGACATGAAGAAACTGCCCATCCGAACTGGGTTGCGCTTGTTACGGCCCAATACCAGTAGGTGGCGATGCGGGTTTTACCAGTATCGCCGCCGCTCTCCGCCTCCATTAGTTGTGTCTCTTCCTCTAGACCCGCTTTTGAGTTACTCCAGTTGCTTGCTTGATTGGGGAATACTATAAAACAGAAAGTTTGCACAAAAATGCCTTGATTTATTGTTTGTTTTTTCTTCTTATGGTTTTAAATATAGACAGGGTATGATAAATAATATTTAGGGTAAATTACACCAGTCATCACTAAAGTTTACTATCTTTCTTATTTTACTCACTTTACTTTAAATTTATTTAATTTTCTCTTTGAATTTAATACGATGAGCAGTTTTGGTCACTTAGTCATTAAATATTTAACAACGATAAAACGATGCCGTTTTAGAAAAATAAAATTTTCACCAAAATTACGTTGTTTTTCATCTATACAACAATTCATTTATAATGTCGTTTAGTGAGAAAACGGTTGAGTGATCAAAAATATTAATTGTGTTAAATTCAATGAGAAGATTAAATGGATTTAAAATATAGTAAGTGAAATAGGAGAGTATAAAGTTCAATGATGTCGTGTAATTTACCCAAAATATATATATAAATAAGGGTAAACTACACTAGTTTTCCCTTTTGTTTTAGATTTATCTTATTTTAGTCACCACTTTTTGGAAAATTGTGTTCTAACTGCTTATATTATCAACTCATTATATTTTGATCTCTGAATTTATTGACGTGAAATTTACTAACATAACTCATTACATTTTGTCCATTACAAAAATGTTCACTGAATTTACATTACTATTTTGTTTAAAATAATGTAAAAGCAATAATATTATTATATCTTCAATTGTAGATGTCTTTACGATGTCTTTTGAGAAGAGGACAATAGATTCATATATCATATAGATATATCCAAATTCTAAAATCAAAATTTCGTGCTAATATTTGATAGCAACATAAAATTACTAATTTGTCCCTGGGTACACTATAAAAACCCAAATCTACTTTCAACTAAAACAGAGAACAAATCAGTATAATTCTTGTAAGAAAATTATGAGTCAAATTGATCTGGAAACTCAACCATTTCAAGATACATAGTGATTCCTAGAAGAGCTCAACCATAAATATAACAGACTTGCTATGATACATAGACTCAGTCTTCGGTGTGAGTGTCGAACACGAATATCTTTGTTTTCCCCCAAAATTTTCATGCAATGATGGATACTCGAGTGACGGATATCGATAGAAAAATGAAGAGTCGAAGCAATGTAGTTATATACCATCTTAATAGTTGCAAGATACTAACCGAGAAGAAGACATCCACCTCAATTGAAGAATGGATATCAGTCCAAAAATCATATTTGAGAAAACCAAATCTAGACAATCTTACTGGTCTTAGCTAGTACTATCACCAGGTTCCTGGTAGGAGAAACTCTCTAACCAGTATTTTGGAGCATCGGGATGAATATGAGAAAGACGAGCAACGAAACTCTTTTCACCAGTTGCAACTATGCTTGCAATGGAGTAGCTTCGAGTGCACAAACCATTCTCCATAAGCCATTTGTGGCATCTGTACCTAGGCTTAATCCTCTTCTCTAAGTGGAAACATAGAAATGCAGGGAATATATCAAGGTAGTCCAAAGAAACACCCATTTCATAGCGAAGGAAATTCACATTCCGCTCTATAGTTTCGGGACTCTGGTTTAGAACTTTCGGTGTCGTTTGCACCATCTTACATAGTTTCGAGAATGTAATCCCCAAATCGAGAAGACTATCGAATATTTCTTACAATTCGGTGCTAGTGCCATGAACATGAGCTAAAACCTTCATGGTCAAAGAATTCTCTCCAAACCCAATCCTATGCAAGAAAATCAACTTCTCCATTGTATGGACAGGGATTCTTGAAAACTGGATTCTCTCGAAACGATCTCAGAAAGCAACAGGTGATTTCCATCATTAATCCTATCAAAAAACCACTCATGTAGATTCAAAGTTCTCATCACATTAGGTAAATTAGCCATCTTATTCCTCTCCAATACATAAGGGTATTCTTTAGCAATGGCATTCCTTTTCTCAGCACTCAATCCAAAATGTTTCAATATTCTCATAACCGAAATCACTAGAGTTTCCAAATCTAAATCTAAAATCTCGGGGCTTTGAAGAATCAACAAGCCAACATCTTCCTTTCTAACCAAAAACCGACAAAAATACCCAATTTTTCAAACCAGAACCTCCTCCGGATGCTGAAGAAAAAGGCTCTTATTTATACCCATCAGGTCCCCTATTTTCCCTTTCTCACAACCTAGATCATAAAACAACCTCGTTTTCCTACAAATTTCATGCCAAGAATCTACATTTGCTTCAACATGACTCCCCAAATCAAAATCCACAAAAACCCTTTTCAGATTTAGACACTGGTTCCCCCATGCAACAAGAAATAAGGACGATCAATGAGCAATAGTCACTCGGTTCAAAGAGATAGCGAGAACAAGCTCCAGAACTACGGACTTATTATCGACGACGGCATTCTCATGAAACTGAGACAACAATGCCAATTTCATCCCCAACCGAGGACTATTCTGAAACAGAAGTCTCACCTCTATTGCCATCCATCTACCATCCAATTGCAGTTCAAAAGGGCAAAGGAAGCTACAATCAACACTCTATTTTACGGTTTATGCCCTATGAAAACTTATCTAAGTCTTATAAAGCTTTTGTGTCTAATGTTGATTATGTAGAAACACCAAAAAATATAGAAGAAACTCTTGAATTTGCTGAGTGGAGGAAAGTTGTGATGGAAGAAATGAGGGCTTTCAAGGCAAATGAAACTTGGGAAGTCTCGAATCTACCTAGTGGGAAGAAGACAGTAGGATGCAAATGGATCTTCACTACAAAGTTTAAACCTGATGACATTATTGACCGACACAAGGCTCGGCTCGTTGCTAAGGGTTTCACCCAAACCTATGGCCTAGACTACGACGAAACATTCACACTGGTTGCCAAGCTAAACACCATTCGAGTTCTTCTATCCCTAGCTGTCAACATGGACTGACCTTTGACTCAACTGGATGTAAAAAATGCATTCCTCAATGGAGAGTTAAATGATGAAGTATACATGGATTTCCCACCCGGGTTTGAAGAAAGCAAGGGCCAAGTATGCAAGTTGAAGAAGTCCTTATATGGGTTGAAGCAGTCTCCAAGGGCGTGGTTCAGCCGATTTTCCAAAGCTATGATCAGTAGGAGCTATACCCAAGGGCAGGCAGACCATACCATGCTTTCAAGCATTCGGAAGGTGGGAAATGTTGCATCCTCATTGTTTATGTGAATGATATAATATTAACAGCGGATGATTCAAGCGAAATTGAAAGTCTAAAAGAATTTCTTAGTGTGATGTAACATCCTCAATACCGGGTTAGTGATTAAATGGTAAAATTTCAGAATTTGGGGATAAAAGTAGGATAATTGAAAGTTCAATGATTTAGATATGAATAATTCCTTATTGGATTAGATGACGGGTATAATAGTAATTTCACAAGAAATATTTTTTCTTCCTCCTTTATATAGGATATAATACATGGAAATGAAGGGAGAAAGGTTCCAGTTTCCAGAGTTCTCTTCTTCTCCTTTCTTCTTCACGTGTGGAAGCCAAGAGCAAAGGTGAGATTTCTTATTAGTTGGTTTTCAGTTGAATTAAGCTTAGGTTTTAATCATGAGATGATACTTAAGCTTAAGGAAAACTTAAGTTATCTTAAAACTATAAGATGAAAAAGATAATATGGATCAAAGATTGGAGTTTTTAAGTAAAATTTTGAATAAGAAGGTTTAAATGAATTTAGAGGATGAATTTGACTTGTCATCTATGAGAATAAGAAGCTAGAAGTGTTAGAATTAAGTTTGAGTAACATGGAAATTTTGGTGTGATTATTGATTTCTATATGGAGAATAGAATTTTGAGGTTTAAGATGAAATAAATGGGTATAAATTAGTTTAAGTATGTATATATGAGTTAAGAATATTAAAGCAAGTGAAATAGGAAGTGTGGAGCTGAAAATGAAGTGATTTTCGAGCTCAAAACATGATTTCTGGGCTAGGGGAATCGGTACCCATTCAATGGGAATCGATACCCCCTCAACCGAACCAGGAATTCCAGAATGTCATGGGGGAACCGATTCCCCCTAAAGGAAAAAAATGATTATTGGTTTAATGAGTTCGGTTAAGTTGCTAGTATCCAATTACAAGGTGTAGGTATCTAATAATTGCCTTAAAATGTACATTTATGTAGATTCTAAGCGTAAAGCAATTCCGGAATATTTGGCAAGTAAGATCAATCGAGGGAAATATAAGAGATCGATATTGACTAGTGAGGCCAGGTGAGTGCGTATTATTAGAATATACGTATTGTATATGGAAATTGGACTTGCGACAAGTCTGTTTCCTATATGATTGTATGAGTAGAAGTATAACTATGTTTGATATTGTGTGAATATGTTTTGTTTGTATTATATGTTATATGGTATGAATTTTTATGATATGTGTTATATGACAATGATTTATATATTATATGAAAAATGTTATATGAGCTATATGAACATGAGATATAAGTTATAGGATCACGAGTTATGTAAAGTACCCACGACTTATGTGTTAACAAGAGAAAGTGACATAACATATGGAACAAGATATAAATTACCTGAGTTAGATATAAGGGAATTGGTAGAATCAACTTAAGGGATTAAAAAAAGTGAGATAAGTTAAATAGCATTGACCTATAGAACAATAATAGATATATATATATATTAGGAGATATTGATAGAACTGGTTATAGGGATATTTAAGATAAATTATATGGTAAAGATCTATGAAGCCATAGGAAGATGTTATAGGAGCTTTTGATGATAATTTATTAGAAGATTTGCATATGTGATAAGTATGGGAAACTGAATTAGGTAAACATGTGTAAAGATTATATAAATAATAGAAACATGAATGAGACAAGTAAGTAATTATATGATCAATTATGGGAAGTTGTGCAGTAGAGTTATAAGATTTATGGAGAATGGAAGAAAACTAGATAAGATTAAACTATAAAAGGAATTGAGAATAATATATCACTTAGGAGATTTGGATATAAAGTGATGATATGCACATAGAATACAAGATACATGTTTATAAATATGACATAGGTTATGTGTTAAATGATAAATATGAACATATGAGAATAAGAGATAAAATAAGTGACTTTGTGATGGAATCTATATGACCATGAATTATGTAAATAGGAATAATTTAAGTACTATATAATTATGAGTATTTGAGTATGTATCTATGTGATGTGATATACGAGGTAATATGAAATAGTATAAGACTATGTGATTATATGAGAAACAAAATAGGTACATGTGAATTATATAGAAATGAACTACGTGAATGGATGTAATCTTATGAAAATTTATGATGAGCTATGTGAATGAACTATAAGATTGTGTGTATATGTAATTATGAGAAGTCATAATAATAGAATGTAAGCAAGGTGACAAGAAAAGTAAAATGATACGAAAAGTTAATATAAGCTACGTGATATGTGAAAGTGAACTATGTGTTATGTGAAATGATAAGTATAAAAGAATATGCCCATGTTATGTGTCTTGAGAGCTAGGGGTATAGTTGACATGCCAAGAGTCGAGGGTCTACGCGGTCCTTCGGGATATATATATATTCTTTGGAACATTTGTGAGGTCTTTTGAGACACATGTTTGATCCTTGGCATATGTATATGATTCTTAAGGAATTTCTATGTGGTCCTTCGGGACAAAATTCTATACCGCACTTTGGTGCAAAATTCTACGCGACACTTCGGTGCAATTTATATGAGTTGTGGTGACAGCATTAGTGCACAGCCTCTATAAACTCACATATCTATGGTTCTCACATGTATACATGGGCTAATAAAGGAAATGATATAAAAGAAACTTGCATGATAGTATGTGCTTTGTTTGTAATCTTTTTGGTGTGTGAAGTGATATATGTGATATGATGATGTGCATATAGCTTGGGTAAGAAGAATAGATACAAGAACATATGACAAAAAGATAAAGAACGAAAATAAGACTAATAAAGAGATAATAATAAATCCCTTATATATGATTTACATGTTTTGTGCTATGAAACCTGTTATAAGAATTATATGATGAGATGTGTGCTTCCTTGAGAAATGATATGCGTGTTATATGACAAAACTAATATAATAGGTACCAGATCAAGTGTTAAATTGGATTACTTATAATGATATATGATAAGAATATGTGAATGATGTGTGTGTACAAGGGGATAGTGGTTGCATGACAGAATGTATGGTTTTGTATGATATAATAGTATAGATTATGAATGCATTAGTAGTGGTTTTATGTTTTTATACCTCACTAAGTCATCGACTTAGCGTGTAAGTGTTTCACACGTAGGTTTCGGAAAACTAGAAGAAAAGTTAAGAGGAGCAAGTCAAGTCAGCATCTCCCTTACAAATTTCAGATCAGAAAATAGATGATTTAAATGATTTTGGTTATTTTGAATATAGTTGGCATGTACTAAAGGATTGAGTTAATATGCTCTAATCAAATTTTAGTTATTGTGGTCAAGTTAAGTAAATAAACTGTTTTTACTTTAATTAAAGTTTTAAATTTTCTTTGAATTTTTGTCAAGAGTCAAAGTTTGAAAAGTCTATGTGACACCTCAGACTCGTATTCGGGTTGGGTACGGGTTGGGGTGTTACAACTGAATTCGAACTTAAGGACTTGGGAACCTTAAGTACTTATTTGGAACGAAAGTAGCAAGGTCTAAAACAAATATTTTCATCTCCCAAAAAAAGTATATTCTTGATCTATTGTCTGAAGTTGGGTTGTTGGGGTGTAAACCAACCGAAACTCCTATGGAATTTAATCTTAAATTGGGAACTGATAGAGATGGAGAAGAAGTCGACAGAGGGAGATATCAACGACTGGTAAGAAGACTCATCTAATTATCTTACAGCCGTTTAGACATGGCCTTTGGTGTGAGTGTTATCAACCAGTACATGCATGCCCCAAGAGAGAAGCACCTGGAAGCTGCTTACATAATTTTAAAATATCTGAAGGGGACCAAAGTGTGGAAATTTACACTGACGTAGACTGGGCAGGGTCTGTTAATGACAAACGTTCTACAAGTAGTTATTGTAGCTATGTGTGGTGCAATCTTGTGACGTGGAGAAGCAATAAACAGTCTGTATTAGCACGCAGCAGTGCAGAGGTAGAGTATCGAGCACTATCCCATGGCATATGCGAAGGAATCTGGATACAACTACTAATGGGAGAACTAAAAGTGCTCTACACTAGACCTATAAAGATGTATTGTGACAACCAAGCAGTTGTCAGCATAACTCATAACCCTCTTCACCACGATCACACCAAACATGTAGAAATAGATCGCCACTTCATCAAGGAAAGAATTAACTCAGGAGAACTGTACATCACCTACCTACCAGACAGCAAGTTGCAGACTTGCTAACTAAAAGCTTGGGCAGAAACATATTCGAGGAGCTCATCGGCAAGCTGGGTTTGATAAATATCTATACTCCAACTTGAGGGGGAGTGTTAGAATTCCTAAGATTAAGGACATAATACTTACCTTAGTCCTAGGAGTTACCTTGTATGGTAGGATCTAATCATAATCTCTAAGGGATTGTTTCCTTATTTGTACTTAGTTCTCCTTATAAAGGCTATAAATTAATTAATAAAAAGTAACAATCTTCTTTTTAAGTTTGTTCAGTTTATTCTAGTGACCATAGGATGGTTTGATGTTTTCTATTTAGGTGAAGAATTTGCTATTCACAACACTTTTGTGTGTGCTTTCCATGTATTACCTTAAATTCCAATGTTACTAGTTTATTATATGAGACTTAAGTTGATTTGTACTTTTTAATGGCATAGGCTCTAGCAAACTTGTCTGTCAATGCCAATGTTGCTAAAGCTGTGGAAAAGAAGGAGGAATTAATATCCTTGCTGGATTGGCGAGTTCCATGAACAAGCTGGTTGCTGAGGAGGCAGCTGAAGGGCTATGGAACCTTTCTGTGGGGGAAGAGCACAAGGTTTTTGACTATTCAGTGTTTTTTCTCATGCCTGAGATCATAAGCTTTCATTTTGAAGTCCTAATCGCATTTTCTTCTAAAACATATTAGGCTGCAATTGCTGAGGCTGGTGGTGTCCAAGCTTTGGTTGACCTTATATTCAAATGGTCCTCTGGCGGTGATGGAGTTCTTGTATGCTTCTCTTTATGTGATGCATTTTACTTGTTTACTATCTTAAATATTGTGTGGCATCCAGCTCTCTCATGATTTAAGTTGCTGTCAGGCTAGAGTTTGCTAGAAGGATCATGATTTCCTTTGTGCATTTTCAGGAACGTGCTGCTGGTGCCTTGGCGAATTTGGCAGCTGATGATAAATGTAGTATAGAAGTTGCCAGTGCAGGTGGCGTGAATGCACTAGTGATGCTTGCCCGTAATTGCAAGTTTGAAGGAGTGCAAGAACAGGTTCCGTTACTTTCACAATTAAGTGGGAACCTTCCACTGTGAATGATATAATCAATACAGTTTCTTTGAATTATTTAACTTGAAATGATTAGCCGCCTTTTTCAATTATCTAATTGTGGCTATGTTATTATACCCGATCGCAACGACTAAGCAAACTGATAATGCAGTCTATGACATTTGGTCACATTGTTCTAGATCTTTTACATTTTCTAAGGACCCTTATCGTCGTCTTGCATTCTTCTGATGCCAAGTGTGCAGTCATGTGCAAATGCTTAAATACGCAGAAGTGTGCTGTCATTTGCAAATACAATATTGATGGCTTCAGCCGTCAACTTGCTTGTCTTTAGATTTGTGTTGGAATCCAGTCCCCTACCCATAAATGTTTACTCAGTCATCGTATACAACTTGTTTGTTTCAACTTGTGCAAATATGCTAGGCTGCTCGTGCCTTAGCAAATTTGGCTTCACATGGTGATAGCAACAGCAACAATGCTGCTGTAGGACAAGAGGCTGGTGCTCGTAAATACAATCATGTATTTAAGCTGGCTCTTGGTAACACCTATTATATACGTTTTCGTGTAAATGGGTTCAATGCTCATCTACTGATCCCACGCGACTTGTTTTAGTTCACTTCATTTTCCTGTTGGTCCCAAAATAACCATAACTCAGAGACTATGACATTTTTTCCTCTAGGAAAAAAAATAAATTGGGTTTGTTCTAACGTTTATGATGATTTCTACTGATTGAAACAGGCAAGAAGCTGCTGGTGCATTGTGGAATTTGTCATTTGATGACAGAAATCGAGAGGCAATTGCTGCTGCTGGTGGCGTTGAGGCATTGGTACTACATTTATTTTTTTCAGCCTCTATTGTTTTCTCTGTCTAAGCAGGGGTACCCTTGGTTACCTTTAGGTGCAGCAAAAAGCGGATAACTGTATGTCTATAAAAAACCTCCCAAATATCCGTAACTTTAAGTGGACATGTTATATAATTTTTGCCTGGACATATTCGATTTCTGTATACTTTTAAATCATTTAGTTTGTTTCCAGAACTAAATTGCAGATCTACCATAATATGTTTAGACGTAGAGTGGATGTGTCACAGTCATCTGATGCTTCCTCGTATCCCATGGATTCCTACAGATAGCGTTGGTGTTTCATTTGCCATTTCCTTTCCATTGTGACGTCATGATGCAAAATTCTGAATCCTGAAATATTAGCACTACTGTGAAGTGCTTCAAAAATTGAGTAATGTTTAAGATTAGTAGAATTGTGCTCTTGGCTTCACAACAGTTCTTTGGAAGAGCTCATGCGAAGAGAACTTTTGTTGGTAAAGAGTTCACGACATCACAAAAGTTATTTATTTATTTTATTTTTTATAGGTTGCTCTTGCCCAATCCTGTTCGAATGCTTCCCCAGGTCTTCAAGAGAGAGCAGCTGGTGCTCATTGGGGATTGTCAGTGTCAGAAGCCAATAGGTAATACAACCTAATCAACATTATCCTGGATAAAATAATTTCTCCGTGTTAATGGCCAACCAGAATTTTCTTCTTGTTCATGATTTTTCCTAGAAAATTTTTCTAAATTGACCATGCCATGTAACTCTAATAAGCATAATGTTCACTCTATTTATTTTTGGTCTTTGTTAGCATTGCTATTGGACGAGAAGGAGGTGTTGCGCCCCTGATTGCACTCGCACGCTCTGATGCTGAAGTAAGCATTTCATGAGCCCAACCCTTGCAGTTAGTGTATGATCTAGCTTTTCTTCAGGTGGCATCTCAGTTGAATTGAACTTATACTTTTGCTTTCAGGATGTTCATGAAACAGCCGCTGGGGCTCTTTGGAACCTTGCTTTTAACCATAGTAATGCTTTGCGGATAGTGGAAGAAGGTGGGGTTCCTGCACTTGTTCATCTTTGTTCTCCATCATTATCCAAGATGGCTTTGAAGCATATTGAAGCTTTCATTCGCACATTCTCCAATCCCCAAGCATTTGCCGCAGCTGCTGCTTCTTCAGCTCAAGCAGCCTTGGCACAAGTAACTGAAAAGGCTCGTATTCAGGAAGCAGGGCATCTGAGATGCAGGTTTCCTTTCCTCGTCCTTTTCCCTCCTGGTTGTATTCCGGATTCATTTGCAGCTTTAAGATAATTATTGTCTCTACTTCAATATTAAGTCGCACAAGGAAAATGGCATGCTGTTAATAAAGAAAACGGCTGCGAAAGATGTCAATGAAGAAATGCAATTGTAAACTAATAGAAATTCTTTTATGGTTTTAGTAAAGTTATTCAAAGATAGTTTACGATACGGTATATGTCTTCCTTTGTTCTACATGTTATTAAAAATTCTTGTTTAGCCGTCTCGCAATGTTTGTAATTGATTAATCATGTCAGGTAGTGTTTTATCATCTTTCGATGCTTGCCTTCCCTCTTCCTTATCGTGCCATTGCATGCATCTGCACTCGTGTTTGTTGTTGGTCTCTCGGAATTAACACAACTTTTATATTCCTTAGTGGGGCTGAAATCGGAAGATTCATCTCGATGCTCAGAAACTCTTCTCCAATAAGGCATGCGCAGCATTTGCTCTACTCCAGGTAAAATATATGGCTACCGATTTCTTCTGGGTTCCAACAAAAATCCTGTTCGGAGAATTTCATTCTGAATTACGATACGTATTGCTAAGGGATATTCACACGTTCCATCTTTATAACTCATTGAAATATTTGCAGTTCACTATTCCCGGTGGTCGACACACCGTGCACCATGCTAGCCTTATGCAGGGTGTTGGAGCCATGCAGCAGCTGCGGCAGCAACCTCACCTATCGAGGCTAAAATCTAAGGTCTCTCTCTCTGCATATAATCCTTTAGATATTAGAACTATCAGAACAAAGTTCATGTTTTTTTGTAGTTCATCATTTTTGTGTGTGTCTGTATCCATTGCTACTTTATCTTCTTTATATATATATATATATATATATATACATTTGAACATATTATGTCATTTGGGGACTTAAAACTGTATAAACGCCATGTTGTGTATGTATTTGCTTAACTTGGTGAGTTAATGACAACTTTTTCTCTTTTACTATGGAAAATTCTAGTATTATATTATCTTGGGTAAATTACGCAATTACACATTTAACATCTAAAATATCAGTTTTGGTCCGTCGTAGTTTCTTAACTTTTATTTTAATTTTCAAAATCATATCTAAAGTTTAATTTTCATTTTATTTTTGTACCCTATTATAAACTTAACGTTAAATTTTGAACTTTTTTTTTTGAAAGTTTGGGTGCTAAAATGGACCAAAATTAATAGTTTGCGTATTAAACGCGTTAAGTTTTTAATGGTGAGGTATTAAAATAAAACAAAAATTAAATGATAGATATGGTTTTGGAAATTTTGAAAGTTTAGGTACTAAAACAAGTCAAAATTGATAGTTTAGGTACTAAATATGTAGTTTACCTATTGTCTTTTATGAATTATATTTGTTGGGTCATTCGGAACTTTTATTAAGAATGTGACAATAATGTCGATATAAATTCTTCAGAAAGAGTCGAATTATTATTATTTTTTAACAGAAATGGTGATTGAAGTGTTAAATTTTTAATGATGTTTGATATAAGGATTTGTATAGCAATCTACGGATACTTTTTCACAATACTTTATTTTGAATTTATCTAAAAAAAATATTAATGGAAAATTTAATTATAAATATATAAATATTAAAAATTAATCATATATTTATTTTATTTTATTAAAAATATATATAATTTTTCTTGTTTATCAAGAAAGTGAAGCATGACAACCACATACAAAGTTAGTACTCTTTGAAAAACATAGACATAATACTAAACCTAGGCTCTGTATTGGGGATATTCATTTTTGTATACATTTATGGAGATATTCGTAGAAAAGAAATAAAAGTTTTATATATATATACACGCAAGCATACGAATCGTGGCATATGTGTAAATAAATTGTTATTAATTGAGGACCCGAGTTCAGGTATCATAGATGTTAGAGGTGTGAACCTCAATTCTATTTGAAAACAAAGACGCCACCGATGGATTCACGAACCCATAAACGTTTTCTTTTTCTCAATGATATTCTCAACCACCGTTGAATAAGCAAGGCACATAAGAACAAAACGAACCAAATGATAAAAACGAGAAACGCCACAAATCCCGCGCCTACAAAACCGAAGTGGCTGCAAGAGTGAGCAAAATTCCACCATCATACGATGTATGTCCAAAGCGGCTTCCGGTCAGTTCCACCCTAGAATGGTTGATTCATACTGCACTGTTGCATTCAAAGTTCAGATCAGTCTGGCAGACAAACAATGTACCGGAAACAAGAACGCTTGAATAAAGCTTTTCCAACATAATGGAACCATTAGCCACACAGAGCAATAAGCAAGATACGATATTCGGAAGGCAGCATGGAGTTCAATATCGAAAAGTGCAATAACTTGAATTTGTAAATCTTGGATATCTAAGTAGTTTAAATTTTCCAGTCCATATCTAGTCCTAGTCTTCTCTAATCAATCCGAATATCGATGGGTTTAAGATATGCTACTGATTCTCGGATTCTAACGCCATAATGACAAATTCACTACCAAAGCAGCAGTATCAGTCTGAAAAGCAGAATCATTGGTTGCTGGGAATGTCGTGAACAAAATAATCCGGCTGGTCCTCTAAACACCCATCCAATAAATTGTATGTTATATCTTCAGGACATCAGAGCCTTCTCCTGCATTTTCTCCACACCATCAGTCCTCAACAAATGCAGTCAGTTCAAATGATAAACTACAATCAGATGTTTCCTGAATTCAATAAATAAATATAGCTCTACAACTCGTAACGACTCTTCAATAAAAATAATATTTAAGGATTAGAAAGAGAGATTAACCTCTTGGGTAGGTTTTGGCCTTCCTCGCGGTCCATCAGTCCACCGGGTTCAGAGTAGATTTCATCAGAATAATTGCAGTGTTACTTCTGTGATAATGTAAGGAAGCTACATCGACCAACATACCTCAATATTGAATGAGTCAAGTCATGGCATGCTAATCCTAGATACAATTAAATTCACTATTTTGCATCTTAAAAAGCAAATTGCAGCTTTAAGCTCCAAACTTTTTCGGTATAAGCTTTTTTGGAAGAAGAAAAAAAATAAAGGACTCACTTTCCCATCATCACCCCTCCTACCAAAACAATTTCAATATATAAAGAGGTGCATTATGAAAATCAAACTACTTTTGCTATCTTCAATACTTATATAGAATTAGTTTAAAAACTAAAAACACAACAAAAATAATGAAACACTTTCACCAGCATTTTGCTTCTCATACTTTTCCAATGGTCCAGTCAATCAGATTTTAAAGGGAAACCTGGATTCAACTGACCTTGATGGCAACGGATTTCTTTACTTCCATCACCCTATCTTCAAGCTCCTTTCGATGTTTCTTGTCCAATTCACTCATATTATCAACCCATTTTATCTTTTCTTGAATTGTGATAAGTAAGTTTTCTGACGTAGCCAACCTAGGTTTGCATAATTGCATTCATAGATAGATGGGAGATGCATAAGCCGATATTGAGCAAATTTAAATTTGCAATTCTATCAAACCTACTTGAACTAGCTAGCTCTAATGAACAAAGCCAAAAGCTAATATGGTATCAGACGGTAGCAACTATTGACGCCGCATGGACTGAGACCTTAATCATATACTTCATTAGAACAAGGATGTTACCAGTTTGATAGTGTTTGTATCATACTTCCAAGTTGTCCTGGCCTCAAATCCCTACCAGCAGCGAATTGAACCTTCCATAAAAAATATGAGATATTTAATAACCTGAGAAAAGAAATGAAAAAGAAAAAAGTACAAAAACTTGAACATGCAGACCACAAACTGATACCTCAAAGTATCTTCGCAGCTGATCCAGCTTTCCTCTAACTAGACCCTGACAAAATGGTTGCGAAAAAATGAATAATCGGCAAACTTTCAGTTCAACTGTGCCACAACTTGCATCCCTTAAAAGTCTAACAACCCTTCCCTCTTGGGAAGAAACACCCCATGAGTAGTCAGATGCTTAGGACACAAATAGATTGAAAAAAGAGAGGAAAAACTAGAAGGCGCAATAAGCACTTATCATATACATAAGCAACTTTTTTTTTTTTTGGGGGGGGGTCTCTCCTCTAGTGTAGGTATAGCCACCAAGAACACACACCAACTCTCAGTAAAATAAAGTTTGATCTCAAGTTTCAGGTGCAGCCAAAGGACTTCAGATGGTTATAAGTACATGTTTGAAAAAGCAAAACATATGAACTGTGATATGATATCAAAGATACTTGTTCAGCATGCTATGTGTTTGATGCATAACCACCTTAAAACTTAACCCTCCAGAAAAACAGGCGTGATGCGCAAATAGGATAATTCCTTCATAGTCCATGTGCTGAACAAAAATCATCCTTAAAAGAAAAAGAAAACAAAAGATTACATCCCAAGTTCTTATAAGGCTGTTCCAGTAGCTTAAGCATGATGGATGGAAATTCAAACAGAGGGACCAATTAGCTCATTCCAAAGTGTGTAGAGTTTAATTTGCACATTTTTTCAGTAGAGGGACCAAAATGCAATCCCCCACCTAGGACAGGGACTGGTGTGGTTCTTTTACTGAGAATCAGATAGGAAGCTACTTACCGCATACATGCAGTCATTGATCAGAAAATCTTCAAGTTGACGAATATTTGTGACATCTAACTCCAGCATTAGCTTACCATATGATAGTACCTAGAGAAGATATTTAAAAATTATTATTTAATAAAGAAAAATGAACTTGACGCGATCAACATGAAAACCTATGGAATAATCAGCATACAAAGATTCCCCACAAATATTACATTGATCCCTCTACATTACAAAGAGGGATACAAGAATTCTGAAAAAGGTTTAAATATTTTCAAGAGATTCTGAGCAATTCATTCAATCATATCATGAAGTCAGTTATTTAGACAACAAAGAATTAAAAGTGGCATGCTTGTTGAATATCAAAATACGCTGTAACCACAACAGAAGAACTAGAGCAACAAATGGCATATTTAGATGTTCAAACGCCTCATAAGTTATAACCCAAAGAGAATACCTTGTTTGTCTCCGCAAGTGCAAGGACAGTAAGTTGCTTTAACTTGAGGACTTGATCCGGAACCAGTTGAGGAAGCCTACCGCTATTCCCTAATTAAATAGTTGCAAAGTTGATCGGATTACGATATGCGGAAGAGAAACACAAACGATCAAGACAGAAATATTTAATTGGGTAAAGCTGAAAGGGCATTCTGCTGCCTCTTGTGCCTGGAACAATATACATTACTGACAAACACCACTGAGATTAAGACAATAGAAGCAAGGACAAGAACGAGTTTCGGGGAAAAGCCAAATCATTAAGCTTGAAAATTTAATATCCAAATTTGATGCCTTTTCAATCACTAGACCTTGAATTTCCATTTAGATAATTAACTCAGTGCCATATTTTCTTTCAGAAAGTTTAGTGGAATGATAGTTTGCAACTTCACATATACAGTTCATTTCCATTTTTCTAATCTCTATGTTATCATATATTTCAATAGAAAGCTAGAACATACTTAACATTTACAAAAGGCAAAACTGATGTCTCTTAATGACCAGTTTTCAGTATTGAAGTCTTAACTTAGGCAGTAGCAACACATAGTTACCACTAAAAATGTCAAATGAGGGCAGGAAACAAGTGCATCGAAGGCATTACAAACTTCTAACCAAACAATAAGACATAGAAGGCATCACAAATTTGTAACAATTAACAAACAACAAAACACAGGTTTGCCAGCTTACTCTTGTAATCACTCCACGTGCCATGAGCAAACAATCGAAGCACCTCAAGGTGCACTGAGTTGTCAGTTCCTTCAAGCTGCAAATACATTGATTTCACGTAAATTACATGTAAACTAATGCCTCTAAACAAGAACTCAACAAAGACAACCACCTAATAACGTTGTAACCATTGAATGGCTCGGAAAAAATATGATCAAACCAAAAATCCTAAATGATATGCATATGAAACTAATGAAACAAACCACAAAATTCAATTAGAAAACCAAAAATCCTAAAATATTCAAACCTTATTTCACTGATGGCAATCCCAATTCCCATGCGAGGTAACAGCAAGAATGATCAACTTAGTTTACGTACAAATATATCAATCTAAATCCAAACACGATAACTAAATTTGTCCTTAATTTCCAGCTCATTTCCTCACTAACCAAACAGTGTGATGCACTGATGCTACTCCAGAATCATGTAACAAACTATGTAAAAAAAAGTAAAGGAATCGAGAATGGAACAGCTTGTAACCTCAGCGACAGTGGGCACTGCAAGAATCTCAGAGAAGGCGAAAAGTGAAGGATGCGACGTCGCTTCATCGATTATAGGGCCAAGAGCTGAACCCTTCTGAGCCGATGCTTGCTTCACGAACTGATCAATTAACTCTGCTTGCTTTTCCTCGATTTCCATCTTCAAAAATACTCACAGATCACAACCAGGAAAAAAATGAAATAATTTTGAAGAATATTGTTGGAAATTAGTGTTTGGATTTGGCGCCGAAGAAGGTGGATCAAGCGAAAGAAAATCTGGATATTAAATAAATAAACAAAATGGTGGGGATTGTGGGATTTGAGAGTTCCCGTGAGAACTGGTAAAATGGCCCCGCCGCACTTGGAGACCGGCGTAAAAACAGTTCTTAAATCAAGTTTTGGTTTTGGTCACTAAAGTCTAAGGAAAACAACCATTAGAAAATTTAATTTTTAAATTAACAGTCATTTTCCATTAATTTTAGAAGGGAACAAAGGTTAAATTAAGGTAGGTTTGAATTATTTTTACACGGTAACCCTTAAAGTTTAGAAAGAAATAAATTTTATGTAATTTTTTGACTAATAATTTTCGTTGTTATTATAATATTGACGTTGTATTTCGGGATGTTGAGATAACATGATATTATGCTGGTGACAATTTAAAGTAGCTAGTGACGATAAATTAGTTAAATTGATTTTTTTAATTCGAGGGTTAAATTAATTCTTTAAAAATTTAACAACTTATTTGGTTTCTTTTAAAAATAAAAATCTTTTAATTTTAAAATATAAAAATATTCAAAATTTTAAATATAAAATTACCAAAAATAAAAAAACAAATTACTAAAAATAATATATATAATTTTTTTGTACTTAGAATTTAACCTAATTTCATTTATATAAACTTGAACTCGTTCATCCTACACAAATTTTATCTTATATAAACCTAACCAATTTGTGTGTGTATATATATATATATATATGGTATTTTGCTTATTCGTTGAGTAAAACTATAACCTAACTGATGTCCTTACTCCTTCCCGTGGTCCTTTCTTTTTCCATGGAAGTTGGAATATTCAAGGTGTAAAATATTATGAAGTGAATGCGTTCTTGTATTTTATTCATCAACATTATAGGTATATATACAAGTACAAAGTTCCTATAATATGTAAAGTAATGTCCTGCATTAACCACGTAATATCATACATTAAATACAATAAATATCAACCCTAATATTTAGCCTATAACAAATTAATGAACTTGAGAAAAATAGTCAAGTGGCTGCTCTTATGACTAAGTCAATCCTGTTGCACCTATTAAAGAAAGTGTAGCTTTTGACCTTTGTAAAATATATAAGTTCCTTGATTTTAAGTTTCCTCTTTCTAAATTTCATGGGAATGAAAAGAGCTTAAAATCACTGCACCTTACCCTACTGCCTAGAACGTCAATATATTTTTCACACATTAAACGCACTACATAGCATAGAGATGAAAGGACTAAATGCAATATGCCTTAATCTTACCCAAAAAAACAGTTGTCCTTGAAAGGCCAATATGCCTGAATCCAATGCTCACTTGTTTCCCTGATCATGTTTGATTGATACTGGTGACAGTCCAAATTTGTTATCTTATACATGGTTCCATATCAAACTATCGCTGCTCTTTCCGTTTACTCATTTATATGGAGTAGAATTCTGCTTCTAAGATGAATAGATGTTTTTGGTTTTTTCCAGATTAGATAGCCTTGTTGGCTTATTTGCTGCTGGTCGTCAGCCTAGCTCTACTAGTTTTATACTTCGGAGTATGGATCATGTTAAGTTGAAAAGTTGTGATTTTCTGGATCTAATGTGTTATGTTTCTTGAGCTGTGCTCAAATTGATACTTTTAGCTTATTATGTTTGTGCATCCATTTTCATTTAAGTGAGGGAGTGAAGGACTGAAGGTGCTCGTGGCAGAGGCTGTGGTGGACGTGGGTATGGACAGGCACGTGGTGTTAGTGGCGGATACAGACCAGATTTTGGCAATGATGAGAACTCATTCAGCAGCAGTGCTGAACTTGCTGGTCAAGGTGTGCCTGACTATGGGGAGAGTAGAAATCTCTCAGAAAGGCGTGGTGGCTATGGTGGTCCTCGACCTTATCGTGGTGGTCGCCATGGTGGTTCTGGTGATGGGGAAGTTGGAGATGGAGAACAACCTCACAGGTTGTACAAACATCGTAGTGTGACTGGATGCGGGTAGAACTTAAAAGAATTTTTTTTAACTTTAGCTTGATATTCTCCATTTCATTATTCTATCCAAATCTCGGAACTGATGCTTTTTGTTTGCGCTTCCCTTCTGTAGAAATGAACTCAAACGTGAAGTCTCAGGTCATGGGAATTGGGGAACTCAGACTGACGAACTTGCTGAGTGAGCTATCTTTAGTGTTTAAAAGTGTCAACAATTCCAACCTTCAATTGGATTGTAAAGCTAAATGAAATCATCACTTGGTTTTGTTATTCTCTCCTCATTATGCACCTTTTAGGGTTACTGAAGAAGTTGTCAATGAAGGTGACAAGCCAGCAAGAGATGAGGATGCTGGAGATGCTAACAAGGGTGAGCTCTACAAATGAACTTGTAGAAAAAGAACCCGAGGATAAGGTAGTTTCACCTGATAATATATCATTTTAGATTGTCATTGATGTCTACCTTTGTTGCTCAAACCTGGGACGAGCGTCAGATACAAATTTCCATACATTTGGAGGATCATACCCCTAACCATGTCTCTATATATGTCATGTGTTTGTACTTTTAGTGAAAGTGATGAGTTGGAGTAACATGGATATATGCAATATTTTCTAATTTTAAATGTAATATGTTAACTACGCCTATTTCTGCATGCAACCTTTGATATTGTAAAATTAATAGGAGATGACACTTGAGGAGTACGAGAAGCTGTCGGAAGAGAAGAGGAAGGCTCTTCAGGCACTGAAAACCGAGGGAAGAAAAGTGGATGCCTAGGAGTTTGAGTCTATACAGCAACTTTCAAACAAGAAGAGTGGTGATGATATCTTCATCAAATTGGTAAGCCTCGATGATTTCTCTATTATTCACTTTTATTTTCCAATGCTTAATTTTTTTTTGTTTCTTTTTTTGGGCTTTGGATTATCCGGTTCTTTATATTTTGGCCAGGAAATGAACTCAAATAATATGGTTTCCTTCTTCCAAAGGATCTCTGAGTCTTATGTTTTGAAATGTATACGCTCGGTACCCCACTGTTGTTCTGCTATGATCTTCAGTAGTTTCTCACTGCCCTCCCCATCCTCTCTCCCTCTCTCTTTTAACACGAAAATGCTCGGTTTTGTACAATCAATATTTAAACAATTTTTCATTGACAATATCATCGATCTTACTCTTTCCAAATTTAATGCCTTATCCGTTGAATTTATCGGCGAGTTCTTTCGGGATATATCGTCGTTCTTCCGGCTAAGCATTCCAAATGACCTATCGTCTCCATTACGATGCTCGTCTTGTGATTCTCCCTGTATTTGTTTATGCAACTTATTAGCATTGGAAAAGGGCCAAAACCGCTTGTATGGACGAGTGATAAAGAACCCAATGTTCTCGTTTTCGGATTTGAATCTTGTGATGTAAAAAATATCGTTGAAAAAGTTGTTTTCTGTATCTAACTTCACTTTGAATATAGTCATAGCCTACGACTATCACAAACATGGTGTTCAAAATTTCGGTTAATCGATTAGACCAATCGAACTGAAATTTTTTAGTTAATTGGTCGGTTTTAAGTTCGATCAGTTAATTGTTAATGGTTTTTTAAAGTTTGGTTATCGGTTAACTCAAGGGTTGTTTGTTTACTTCAGAATGATTAAACACTGAATGATTCAAATGATGAATGATTCAGAGGCTCTGTATGAATTAGCTCTGAATGTGACATGTTGTTTGATAATGGCTCTGAATCATTCAGAATGTACTTCTGTGCTGAATAATTCAACACTGTTTTGCTAAATCAGTCAGTACTGAATCATTCAGATGTGCGAAACAAACGCGTTGAATGCTGAACGGATAAGTTTTAACTGAAATATTTAAAAGTTTAATATATTATTTATATATTAATAGGTTTAAGAGTGTTTAAATTTCAGTTTCAACCGAATTAGCTAAAATTATTAAATATTTAATATATAATATATATCATTTAAAATTTCGGTCGATTAACCGGCCTTTGTTTAGTTCGGTTAATTATCTTTGAAATTTTTTTGATTCGATTAGCGGTTAAAGCAAAATAAATTCATTCAATGATCCACACCCCACCTAAAAACTGATATGCTAAACAACTTTTGAACTAGGAACAAAATTAGCACAAGCATGGGCAAGCTGGAAATTATGTCCAGCAGAATTTAAAATCAATGCAACTTGCATATTATCTTCGTCTCTTCGACAGTAACCCTCATTTTCACCTCGCATTCCAATAACCCCATACAAGTTGTCTCTATTGCACAAGCTTTAACGTTCCTCTGACAAAGCGAAGCATGTGAATTAGCCGTATTAAAATCAACCTCGGGACCTATACCAACATCACGTTCTTCCCTAGCAAATGGAACAATAACTGCTCTCTAGTATTAAATTCAAAAATTCTAAAAAATTTCGGTTAATTAAAAAATTAACCGAAATAATCGAAATTTATTCGGTTCGATTAATATTTTCGAAAAAAAAATTAGTTCGGTTAATGGTAGTTCGGTCGGTTCGGTCACCGAATTAATCGAATGAACAACCCTACCGATACCCGTTTAAATAAACGTTTATGCTAAACGGGATACTCGTTTCCCCGCGGTTTTCCCCGATTACCCGATGAGGATCCCCGTTTAAATCCCCGTAATTTTTTAAACGGGGACGGATACCGATTTTTTAAACGAAAACGGAAATGAGAAAACCAATACCCGACCCGAATCCGACCCGTTGCCATCCTATTCATTAATACAATTAATTTTTTCAAAAGAGCAAAGAAGAGAAAAGCTCAGGAAAAGTTAAACAACAAACAGAACACCAAAATGGGGAAAAACCAAAACAAATTTGAGCATCATCACACGTTATGTCAGGGATCGTTTTTGGAAACACTCAAAGCTCACTATACCTCGCAGTTTAAATTGCAGATTGAATTTACTCGCCGGAAAAGAAAAGGTAAAGTAAAAGACGTTTTCTAGCTTCAGAGGCACAGAGAGAGTAAGTTCAGAGACTAAAGAAAAGTCATTAAAATACTATTTCTTTTATATTTTTTGTCTTTGAGTGAAACACGGAAAATAAATTCAAAAAACGGATTTAGGCTAGAATTTGAGTTCCATTATGTATTGCCTTGCTCGAGACCTTGAGAAATCCTCCTAAC